GCGCACGGGCGGCCGGCCGGGCGCGGCAGCACCGACCAGCGCGGCGGCGGCGGCGCGCAGCGCCGCGCCCGAGGCCTTGCCCAGGGACGAGGCCGAGTCGCCCGAGGCGCCAGCCGGAGGGGCCGGCGCGCGCGGAGGCACGCCACCGCCGCGCGCGGAGTCGGGCGACCCCAGCAGCATGGTGTCGGCACTGAGCTCGCTGTCGGTGGGCAGGTCGTCGCCGTCGCCGTCGTCACTGGCGCTGGCGCCGCCCGCAGGAGCCCGCGCCTCGACATCAACCGCGGCGCCGCCGCTGGCGGCCCAGGCCTCCAACTCCTCGTGCAGCATCAGCTGGTGCAGGCGGCGGTCCGGGTGCACCTCGCCACGCACACTCTTCAGCCGGATGGTGCTCACCGCCTCGCCGCCCATGATGGCGGTGACCAGCTGGCGCAGGCGCCCCAGCTTGTACTCGTCGGCGATGGGACGTCCCTTCTCCGTCACGCTCAGCACGAAGGCCACGCGGCCGCGGTAGGTCCACACCGCCGCGCTGCGCACGTTGCACCCGTTGTGGGTGAGCAGGCGCGTGACATCTGCCAGCAGGCCCACGCCGTCGGGCCCGGCCAGCTCAAACACCGTGGACTCCACGCGGCTGGTGTCGTCGGTCTCGTCCCCATTCAGGCAGGGGCTGTCGTCGGCGTAGAAGGCGCTCAGCATCTGGGTTGGGTGGGTGGGGGCTGGGGGTTGCAGGTTGGAGGGGGGAGGGTGCGGGCAAGGAGTGGAAGAGGGAGACATGCGAGCAGGGTTGGCCAGTGGTGGCATGGGGAAGAGGCTGGCTCATGACCGTGAATCATGTTGCAGGATGCAATGCACGCTCAGGGAGCAGGTGAGTCCACACCCATCTTGATCAACACATACATCTCAAACCTGGAGCTGCCGCATTGGAATGGGGGCGCGCACACGCACTCCAGACCAGCAACACCCAGGAATAACAACCCCACAGCTACTTCCAGACCTGTTGGATGCTGCGCAGCTTGGCCTGGTTCAAAATCTTCTTGCCATCTCCCTCTGAGAGGAGGAAATCTGCGATGCGAGGGAGTTTGGGCCCCATAAATGGAAGTGTAGGCATCAACAGGGAGGTAGTGCAAGGTGTCCAGGTGCCAGCACCCCACACATTCTACTCTGCCGACCGACCAACTAGAACCGCGGCATCTTGCAATCCGGGTCATGACACGGTGGGACGATGGCATCGGCATGAGCACACCCGCATGTCGGGCCCCAAAGGACACCCCGCTGCTGCCCAGCTACAACGTCCCGCCAGCTCACCATCCACAAACCACCCGCCGCAGCTGGTGACGCGGCTGCTGTGGATATGCAGTCCCAGCTCCGTGAAATGTTGCACGACCTGTCCCGGGAGGGTCGCGAAAGCGGTGAGGGACTGCTCCAGGGGACCTGTACGAGGGACATCCACACCCTCGGAAACCCAACCTACATGGATGAGGCTGCCGGGACGGTTGGCCGAGCTCAGTTTTACGAATGTATACTTGCTGTTGACAGTATTGTCAATTGAGATCTCAGGGGGGGTCACTCTGAGCTCCAGCGTCAGGTTGTCCTACGGACGCGGGGTTGGGCGGGGGAGGGTCGACAGACGGTTGGAGGGCACGGCCACGCCACCGTAAACCATGCCAGGTCACAGCCCACTCACAAGAAGGGCTCCGTTTTCGTCTACCGCACAGTTGACGGGGTTGACCTTCTCCTTCTCCTGCCAGTCCGCGAGGTTGAGCAGGGATGGCGAGCTCTGCCCGAAACCAGCCCGGTACATCATCGGAACCGCGCCTTTGCAACGCTAAAGCTTCAACAACACATCTTGTCAGGTCTGAATCGCTCGCTACAGCCGATAACCTCCTCGTCTTTGAGGTGATTTTCTGTACAATGGCACCCCCACCAAAACCTGTGCGGGTTGTCACCCCCCTTGGCCGGTCACGTGCGTTGATCTCGGCGTTGATGGAATTGGATATCTTCCGCTGCGCCCCCGCCGCGCAGAGAATACGATCCTCGATGCCGGACCAGGTACATTTCTTGCAAACACAATGCAGCATGCATAGAGTCCATGTCGAATGCATGCACTGGGAAATGACAGCCCCCAGGCGTACAGACGTTTCCGGACGGGGGGCCGCGTGGCACGGGGGTCTCCAGCGGGAGCTGCACGCTAGCTCCGGGAGCTTCCACGGCCAGGCGCCGCTCGTGCACTCCGTGCATTCGCGGCCCGTCGGCTGGCAGGATCGCGGTGCATGCCCCTCACTCCACACTCGCCCGCGGCTCCACGTTGATGATGCGGATGTCGTCAAAGGGTTTGTCCGTCTTGGGGTGGGTCTTGCACTTCTCGATGGACACCACCACATCCATGCCCTTGACCACCCGGCCGAACACGGTGTGCTTGCCGTCCAGCCAGGGCGTTGCAGCGGTGGTGATGAAGAACTGCCCATGTGGAGGGTAGGAGGAGGTTGCTTGGATTGGGGTCAGACGTGCAAATGGAAAGGTGGTCCTGCCCCCATTGGCACTGCCCTGCCCCCTGCCGGCCACAAGGCGTCATTCGACTGCCCATGGCAGCGTTGAAGCGTGCAGTCGGGAAGGCTGTCGATGGCCCGGGCGCGCCGCGCGCTGCGCAAGCCCGAGCCCTGTCTCTGTGAGAGCTGTAGCCACACCCCCAGCCGCGCACAGCCGCCCCTGTGGCATATCCTCGCTGTAGAGACCCCACGGTCCTCTCCCCCCGCCCTCTTGGAGGGGGACCCCCCACGAAACATACAAACACACAAACGCACCTGCGAGCCGTTGGTGTTGGGCCCGGCGTTAGCCATGCTGAGGGTGAAGGGCCGGTCGTGCCGCAGGTTGCGGCTGATCTCGTCCTCGAACTCGCCGCCCCAAATGGACTCGCCGCCCGTCCCGTCCCCCAGCGGATCTCCGGTCTGCAGCATGAACCCCTTGATGACGCGGTGGAAGAGGACGCCATCGTAGTACCCGTTGCGCGCGTGGGTGGTGAAGTTCTCCACCGTGCGTGGGCACTCGTCAGGGAAGAGCTTGAGCGCGATGTCGCCGCGCGTGGTGTGCACCACCGCGCCGCGCGGCAGGTCCGGCGCGGCGGCGGCGGACCCCGAGGCGCCGCCGCCGCCGCCGCCGGCCTCGCCCGCCTCGCCCTCGCCGCCGAGGGGGCGCTCGTTGTACACGTCGCGCCCGCCGCCCGCGCCGCTGGCCTCCTCGGCCGGCTCGCGGCGCGTGAAGAGGTACAGGCGCTGCCGCCCCGCCGCGCAGGCCAGCAGCGTGGGGTCGGCGGCCACGTCCACGGCCGCCGCGCTCTCGGCGCCGGCGGCCAGGAGGCGTCGCCCGCGTGCGCCGCCGCCCTGAAAGAGCGCCAGGCCCAGGAAGCGCTCGCCGCCCTCGCCGCCGCCGATGACGCCGGCGCAGGCGTTGGTCGCCAGGTTGACCACCTTGACCCCCAGCAGGCTGGGAACCAGCAGGAAGTTGCCGGACTCGTCGAAGACGACGTTTGGCGTGGCGGGGCGCGGGGGCGCCGCGTCGCGCGTGCCCAAGCCCGCGCCGGCGTCGGCACTCACCACCCCAAGCGCCGCGGCCAGCTCCTTCTCGGCGGCCGCGCGCCGGCCAAAGTCGATGGGCTCCAGGCGGAAGGCCTCGGGCCCCGAGCGCTGCAGCTCCGCAGCCGCCGCCAGCGACTCGTCCAGCACTTTGAGCAGGCGGCCGGTGGCGTAACGGAACAGTCGCACGCGCCCGTCGGCGCACAGCGCGGCCCAGCGCGCTCCGTCCCGGGCCACCGCCAAGGAAAGCGCGGTGGTGCCGGCGCGGGCCAGCGCGTACAGGTCGGTGTCAAGCTTGAAGTCGAAGCGCAGGCCAGTGGCGGGGCTGGCCAGCGTGCCCGGGTCCCAGTACTCTACCATGCCTGGGCGAGGAGCGGGGGGAGCGGGTGGGAGTAGGAGGGCAGGGCAATCACGGATGCATGCATCGAGGCGAACGCCCTGCCTGGCCCGGACGGGCAGTGGCCAGGGATCCAGACGCCAGAGAGAGGCGCTTCCCCACCCCGCGCACCGCCGGCCGCAGCCCCTGACCAGAGCATGTGCACACCCACGCAAGCTCCTCGGCCCCACCTGCCGCGTCCGCGCTGATGACGGCGCCCTGCTCCGGCGAGAACTTCATGGCCGTGACCGGGGACGAGTGCAGGGTGACCCTGCCCAGCTCCTCGTCGCCGCCCGACCGCGCGTCGAACACGGCGATGGCCGGCGTGGCGAGGTCCGAGACCGCCAGGCGCGCCACGGGGATTCCCCTCTGTGAAGGCAGCGATGGGAGGGGTGCGGGGTGAGGGGCTGGGGCCCTGAGCGGCAGTGGGGCCAAGCCTCAGGCCAGGCGCGGGCGCCATACATGAAATCGGCGGCATGCACGCCACGCCATGCGCGCCGGGGTGCCAGGGTGACGCCGTGTGAGACGCAGCGCGGCGCCGCCTGGCCAACCCTGGCGGCCCTCATGAGCCCCAAGCCCAGGCCCACGCGAGGCTCCCCTCAACACGCACTCATTCCTGCCCCCAAACAACTGCGCGTTCACCTGGAAGGCCCACTCGATGGCACCGGGGACGAAGGGCAGGCGCAGCATGGCTATCATGTCGAAGCTGCCGATGTCAAACACCTTGACAGAGGCGTCTGTGGAGGCTGTGGCCGCCAGGGAGCCGTCGGCGGAGACGGCCAGGGCGGTGATGGGGCCCACATGGGCACGGTACTGCTTGGCAAACTCCACGCCGCGGGCGAGCTTCTTCCAGAACTTCAGCACGCCGTCGGCGGAGGCGGTGAGGAAAAAGTCCGTGCCGCGGGCCACGGCCACGGCGGTCACGGTGTCGCGGTGCATGTAGCTGCGCTCGTACGTGGAGGCCAGGGGGAGGGAGGCCAGGTACTGCGCCTCGTACTGCAGCGTCTGCGGGGAAGGGGGCAACAGGGGTGGAGGCTTTGCTGGGGAGGCGGCGACGCGCGCACACACCGGTGCAGCCACCAACTTGGCAGGGATGGGGCTTGATACATGCTCTGAAACCCGTAGATAACAGGAGCTAGACCGGCTGAAGAGCCATTCTTGACATCCCCCCATTCCAACTGCTCACCCTGCGTTTCTTTGCTTGGGGCAGAGTGGGTCCCACCTCCACCTCCTCCTCCTCCTCCACAGTGGGAAGCTTATCCAGTGAAGGCGGGAGGATCGGACCGACGTCCTCATCATTCGCTGTGGAAGACGGACCGGGCTGGGGCGGGGATCCCGGCTCTGCAGGCACCTCCGACGCCATGGCTGCGATGGCGAGGGACACTGGACTCCCTACCGCATGCCCCACTGCTGTACTAGACTGCAAGCTGGACGGTGTGAGGATAAATTAGTTTGAAATAGGCAGGAATATGTGTCCATTCCTGGGAATCGTTTGTTCGCTCGGGTAGCACCTACAACGATGGCGAGCGATCGCGGCAGCGTCGTCGCGCCCTCGATCCACAATCCCCATTCCTCAGGCCAGAGGTAAGCTCAAATCATGCGACCAAAACCCATCGATATGCTACCTTGTTTGGGTTGACTTGAATAGGAAGAGTTTGAGCCCGGACGAGGAACACTGCGCACCACTTCATCTACTGACACAAAATTGCCGTGCTGGTCTTTGACGTCAAAGGAACGTGCTCTTCTTCTTGCGCCGCGCCAAGGCCTGCCTCCTCCGCTGCGCGTCTTCATCATCGCTGTCTCCATCGAGGGGTGCCCCTCTGTCGTTCGATGGGGACTCCACTGCTCCTGGCTGGAGGGCATCCCCGTCATCTGACATTGCACGCCTGATGTAGGTGGCGAGGCAGGGGCCTGAGCAGCGCAAGGACGCTCCTTGCCAGAGAGAGCCAGACCAATGTAATAGAGTCGACAGTCTCCATGCAGGGAGATTTATTACTTCCAGCGCATCACCAAACCCCTGGGTGCATCTGATCCAAGGTCAAAGTGAGAAGACAAAGTACCCTGCCCCACCCAGCTTCACCCTGATCAGACCCTCAACCCATGATCTCACCGGCGGGACTGGGAAGCACGCTGCCTCTTCAACGCCATCCTTTCCTGTTTCTGCTTGAGCTGTTCCAGAATATTTGCTCGGAAGTCCTCACCCTGCATCGCAGTGTCGAGATGCGCTCAAGTGCGAGCATGGGGGCATGTCGAGAAGGTGCCGGGCACGCCCGCGTCGAAGCATGGATTACCCACCCAGCACTGAGCCTTGACCCTCATCGTAGACGCCACAGCCCACCACGCACCTCCTGCTTCCTCAGCGCCGCCGCTTCTTGCGCCTGGGCGGCATTGAGAGCCACCCGCTCCTCCAGCGTCGCCCGCGCCTCCCTCCCCCACCGCCTGCCGAGGGCTGCATCCAGGTGCTCCTTCAGCAGCGTGTCCTGAAGGTGGAAGGGGCGAGCAAAGGAGGTTGGGAGACAGATGGGCGAAAGGACTTTCGCCCATGCGATTTGAGATGGCAGGTAAACCTGACACAGCGGCCGAGTCCGTGACGCAGGGATCTGGCTGCACCCTGACCATGGTCCAGAGAGGCAAGCGTCCAGCATCCTTTGTCAGGATGGACATCTGCACTTCCCATCGCAGGCCATGTTTCCTCTCAAAGATCCGTGGCGCAGCTCCACCCACCCTCGTGTCTGCGTCCTTCAAGACCCGGTGCGCCTCATTCAGGGCCTCAAACGCCTTGCGGGCATCTTCCCCAGGGTTCTTGTCTGGATGCACGAGGACGGAGAGCCTGCGGTATGCTTTTGAGACCTCCAGGGCAGTCCCCTGCCATGTCACGTTCCCCAGGACGTCTGCTTCGGGGGCTGGTAGCTCCAGGAGCCTGTGGGACCGCACAACCAGGTGCGCTGGTTGCCACTCCACCACATCTGCCCAACACACCTCAGACTGGAAAGGTGCATCTCCTCTCCCGCCATCCGACAGGATACTCAGTGCCTCGCTCTTCTCCACCTCCCACCTGAAGTAGTCACGCTCTGCGTAGTGGAGGAGGATTCGCTCGATCACGTCAGCTGTGGTCATAGAAGTGCTGAGGCTCCTCAGCCTGTCTGCCTCGGTCTGCGCCTGCTGCACCCGAGCCTGGGCTGGATCAGCCAGCGCGGCCTCCTCATTGTGCTGCGAGTGCAAGGCATTGAAGGCCCGTTCTATGTTCCTGACAGACATCCCGTTGTGCCAGGGTGGCTGTCAGATTCACACCGGCATAATCATCGAGTCCAGGGTATGTCACGCATCGGCACCTCGCGGCAGTGTCATCATGTTGGACCTTATGTATAGTACATAATGTGTATTTGGGCATGAGACTGTCGTGTCTGAGAGATCTGCTCGGCACTCTCGCCGTTTGCAAAGCAGGGCGCGAGAATCCACGTAGTTTCGGAGGAGCGCTTTCCCGGAAACATGCACCCTCGACCTCGCTCCTTCACACCAGGTCCCCACTGCTGAGGTGCAAACATCACCTATCCCAAACACACACTTCACAAAGCTTTCAAGGGCTTCTGCGCAACGAGGCTTCTTGTGAATCTCCGGAGCAGGCTCAGTCCTGCACAACTTCCACTGGATTCGTCTCGAGCCCAGCTCGGCATCTGACCACCTTTTGCAATGCAATCGGCCATATAGTATCTCGAGACACTCTACGCCTCGTATGCAGCGGGGCCTCAGTCCACGAACCTGCCCGCCGAGGACCTGCCTCGTGGGCACTCGCACTCATGGGCGCGGGATCGGCAGACCAGGCCCGCAAAGCCGGGTGAGCGGTGGAAGGACGCAGGCATGCTCATTTGGGTTCGTAGTGGTTCTGGTATCAGCAGATCATGTGTTGATGGTGGCCATCGACCGGAGTGCGCGGCATCCCCATCGCGCGGCGATGGGGCATTTGAGGCTGTGGCCCTCATGCCGTGCCCACCTCCCCTTGCGACCAGCCCAGCTCCACCCTCTGCTCCCCCACGCAGCCACACTTTCCCCCTGCCCTGTCGCTGTCGGATCCCTGGAAGACCCTGGGGGTGGGTCACTCCGCTAGCGAGGAGGAGATCAAGCGGGCGCACCGCCGCTTGGTGCGCCAGCACCACCCTGACCTCCACGCCCCTGGCGACGAGGCGGTGGCCGCCCGCTTCATCTCGATCCAGCAGGCGTACGAGATCGTGATGGGCCGCGCCCTGGGCCGCCTACCCGAGTCCAGCCAGCATGGCGGCTGGAACTTCCATGACTGGTGGGCCCTTGGGTATGTGAAAGAGGCTCCAATGAGGGCCCGGTTGGTCGGAGGCTGGCCTGTGACAATGCTCAAGGGCACCCAACGCTCCTTGATCCCTGTTTAATTTCAGGTTCTGGAGCTTTGCGCGACGGAGGGCCGATGAAGGCGTGCCCAAGGCGACGGGGCCGCCTCGGCGGGAACAGTGGGAGCAGCAGCTGCACCTCCTGCGCCGCAAGGCAGCCATCAAGCGCGGCGCCTACGCCCACGGCGCAGCGACCCCACAGGCCCCGTCCCCCGGCAGGTCTGCGCACCCGGAGCACGAGGAGGCCGTTCCGGGTACGAACAGGGTGGCGCCCGCCGAGCAAATGAATCGCGCTCCGGGTGGCGGAGCACCCTCTGCCGCTGGGGATTCCCAGCCTCCAGATGCAGACGCTGAGTGCGCAGAGGATACTGGCGCGGGGGGGGAATGCCTTCGGACACCGGCTGCGGCTGCACCTGGCGTGCACAGTGAGCCCCCGCCGCCGCCACGGATCCCTTTTCGGAGCTCCCAGGACACGCGAGAGGGAGTGACCATCCAGCTGGCAGGGCTGCGACGCCGGGCCGGGATCAAGAAGGACCTGACCCCAGCTCCCTGAAGAGCATCTGGGCGACTCGCGTTCAGGATGCTGATTCCCCAGATCAACCGCCTGAGGCATGGCAGGACTTCAGGCTCTCAGACTTTTCCACTGCCGCAGAAGAATGTGCCGTGCCAGGCACAGCCATGCTGTCACAGCAGCACCCTCCCTTCACGCGAGAAAGGAGTTGCACCCAAACTCATACACTCTGTCTCTTCCCCTGTACCTTACTCCAGATCATCTGGCCCTTGGGCACACGATGTGCCGTGATTTTGGTGTGATGCCATGCGAGCCGTCCAGTGTTGGGATCTTGCGATGACACACACGGTGCAGTATGCCCTCCTGTGAAGAAGCACATCGTTGATGATGCATGCCATGTAACGGCCATCCAGTCAGAGCCTTGGTGGGGATCAATGACCGATTTGCAATCCTTTACGGTGCAGGGAGTCTGGATCTAGGGCCCTAGCCACACGATCAAGCAAGCATTGACATGCCTTTCAAAGACACAGTAACGCATGTTTTGCAGGCAAGGGGTCGTCAAAGACCCTAATGATCGCCAACAAGGTCATCCACGACTGGGCCCAGCTGGTCAATGAGGTCTGGGGCCCCCATCGCTCGTCCCTTGCATGCATACGCCCTGTGTGCGGCCTTCCTGCAGAGGTATTGAAGGAGGGTAAGGTGTCTAAGACATGCCACGGTAGGCTGCTAGTGCACGAGATTATGAAGCAGCAGCATGCATGCTGACAAGCTACAGCTTCATCACCTCCCACCAGCCCACCTGACAATCAGGGATGATCCATAGCAGGCCAGCAGGGCGGCAGGCGGCCCCTGTCGCGTCCCATCACCAGCCCATGACTCCTGTCCACGCTGCATCCATGCCATGAATGCTGCCAGGCAGCCCGATAGCACATCACCCTTTGGGGGGACGGACGGTGCCATGTGGATGATCCCTCAGACGGGTGGGAGACATGCCCAGGAGCAGCGGCATACACCTCTCAGCAAATGGGACGCCACCAGGATTATCCGACTCAGACCCAAGCCCTCCACGACCCACATCTTCGTCACAATGCTCACCTGCCCCCCCACCCTGCGCAGCGAGCCCGGCTCCTCGCACTCCAGCTGGCCGTGCGCATCAGCCGCCACGTCGACCCGCCCCTTCTGCAGCACCGCCGGCCCATCCAGGGCCCGAGCGAGCCGTCGTGCAGCGTCAGCGCCCTTGGCCTCAACGCCTAGGGCCTCCGCCAGCCTGCCCAACTCCACCACATTGGGTGTGAGGACGATGGCGCCGTGCTTTCCTGTTGAGATGAGGTGGTTGGGTGTGTGTGTGAGGTGTGTAGCCAAGAATGCAGACCCAAGCAACAGTACCAAACCCAATGCTGGACGCAAATCTCCTCCACAGGCTCCTGACCTTTGACCAGGGCGGGGGCCGAATTCACCATCCAGAGACCGTCTGCATCGACGACGAGCGGGATGCCGCGCTCGACCACCTCCTGGAGCACCTGAGTTGGGCGCAGGAGGGGTAGGTGGTAGGTTGGCGCTCCGAGGGCGCCCAAGGGAAACACCTCAGCGACCAGGCAGCGGAGAGCTTCCTCGATAAATTCACTCCAACCTCGCTCACTCTGGAGGCGGTGCGCAGGACGAGGTCATCTCGGCCCAGGCCAGGGCCCACCACCACCGCATCAAACTTGGGCAGCCAGGGGGTGATGGCCCGGATCGCCCTCTCCACCACTTCGTCCTCGGCCTCCTTGCTCAGCTGAGGGGGAAGAGGGTGGCAGGCGGCCGTGACCAGCAGATGACATGGCCATAAACCCACCACACATTCATCATCCACACATTGTCATTGCCCCTGCTGCTGCCCACTCCCATCTTCTGGCAACCCAGACAAGCCCTGGCCCCTCCCTTGCCTTCTCAGTATCGTCCCTATCCTCGCCAGCTGGCAGGTAGGGGTGCACTATGAGCTCAGGGGAGTAGCCCTTGATCACGGTGGCCGCGCCTTGGGTGCAGAAGACATGGGCGATGTCTGATCCCACCTGGTCCCAAGGGTAGTGCGCACAGGGGCAGTTGAGCAGGGGAAGAGTTAGCCTGTCTTTGAAAATTTGAAGGCGAGGATCAAGTTGAGCCTCACATTCCACCACATCATGCTGGTATCAATATAGTGTTGAGCTGGGCCTCTCTGAATACAACTTCAGGCAACTGTGTCAGCAACAAGAGGACCTCACTCTGAGTGCAGAAATCGCCGAGAAGAAAGGGGCGCCAGTGTACTCCCTGCAACCTCCGATCACAGCGATCTTTCCTGCCTGTCCCTTGTGTCTGTCCTCTGTGCGACGGCAGGGCAAAGAACTCTGGGGCGAGGGCCCATTGCATCTCAGTCCAGCTATGAGACGCTTCTCCACGCAAAGTGGTCAACCAGGAATACCTTGTCGAGCAGAATATGGCCTTCGTACGCTTGCAAGGTCACCCAGAACACTCGCCTGACAGCTTGGGGATCAGCGCGAGCACCTGCTGCAGAAGACTCGACGAACCAGACATGCTCACTGGTGCGGTGACTGAGGAAAAAGAGGCCGAGCGCACTGAGATGGGAAGACCGCCTAGCACCTGTTCAAGTTCGAGTCGGGCAGCCTCAGGGCGGGCGATAAGCAAAGTGCCAACGAGATGGGGCCGAGCAGCTCGGAGGTTGAAGGATCATAACCCATGACACCCTACACGACAGCAACACCTGGTGATAGGGGGCTTGACGACTGCAACGTGGCTTCAGATGAAGACTGACTTCATGCCATGAGCACTGCGCGGCAGATCTGCGCAGATGCTGCAGCGAGGACGTCGCACACCTATGCAGGCCAGCCGCGCTCATGCACCCTGCTTCCCGGGCGCAAAAAGGCGACGCTCGCTCAACCTATGCAGGAGTAAGGTTTCTGTCATGTATGATTGATCTAGGAACAATTTTGGGAGCCTCGAGGTGTCAATCACTCCGCGACATCACCCATGCGCAAGGACTGCGTCCCGGGCGCTCAATCTCCGACATCGAGTTGTTTAAACGGGGGGGTCCACGGTGCCAATCTCTGCACGCCGATGGAAGCTGTAGGCAATGCAGATACAATACAACAATGCGATTGGCATATATTTAGATCTATAACTTGAGCCTGGGGTGCACGGGGTGCGGGGCTGAGAAGTATACAGCCCTCACCTGCCTCAAACCCATGTCGGCACGATGTCGGCTTCAGGCGAGGATAATGAGCAAAGCGGCAACCAACATAAAAGATCAACTCCTGAATTTGTGGAAATAGATGGTGAGGGTGAGGCGTGCGGCCTTCCACCCCGATGGCTGCTTGTCCTGGTTGGAGGGAGCCCTCGCCATCCACCGACTCTCTGCAGGCAGCCAGCTGGAGGGCGGCGGCCAGATTCTGCGCAATGCAGCCGCCCTGGCCGCCCTCACTGCAACCCCCATCCGCATCAGCGCCATCCGCGCGGGGCGCACGCCCCCGGGCCTCCGGCCCCAGCACGTGGCGGGGCTGGATCTGGTGGCCCGGCTCTGCGACGGGGCGCTGGAGGGCGCAACAGTGGGCTCCACCTGCGCCAGCCTGAGTCCCCAGGCGGGGTACGGGACCGGCGGCGGTGGCAGCAGCGGCGGCGGTCATGACGAGGTGCTGGGCGAAGCCGGCACCGCCGCGTCCTGCATGCTCATGGCGCAGGCGGCGCTGCCCTGCCTGCTGCTGCCCCGCGCCATGTCAGCGCGGGGCCCGCCCCCGGGCCGCCGCACGCTGCGGCTGCGCGGCGGCACAGACGCGCGCGCCGCGCCGCCCGCGGACTACCTGCGCCACGTGCTGGCGCCCGCCCTGCGCGCCCACGCCGGCGTGGACCTGGAGGTGGAGGTCCTGCGCCGCGGTTTCTTCCCCAAGGCGAGTGGCACCGGAAGCAGTGGCGAGGGCGATCCTCTGGGGCGGCATGCGAAGTGCATGGGCGTGGACTTGGGAGGGCCCCCTGCGTTCTGCGCTGTCAAGCACATGAACCCATGGCCAGGCATCAGCTCCAGGACGTGTGGCCACATTCAAGCCTGGAACCCCCTCTACCCCCCCACACATACACACGTCAATTCCGTTCCCACAAACAGGGCGGGGGCGAGGTCGCGTGCCGCGTGGCGCCACTGCCGCCGGGCTCCAGCCTTCCCCCCCTGCGCCTGACGCAGCGGGGTGAGGTGCGGGGCATCGTCATCCGCGCCTTCCAAGCCGGCAGGGTGCCGCGCGGTGTCGCGGATCGCATGGCAAGGGCCGCCCGAGCCGCCCTGGGCGCGAACCTCGCGACCCTGGTCGAGGCGGAGGAGGTGGAGGCCCTGCCCCCGTGCCAAGCGGTGGGGGACGGGTGCGGGGTACTCCTCGCTGCTCACACCAGCTCGGGCTGCGTGCTGGGCGCCTCAGGTGCGGCAAAGGCCGATGCAGAGGGGGGTTGGAGGGTGGTGATCTGGGTGGGACCTGAGAGCCCATCATGCTGCTTGCGGTCATGACAACGGGCGGGGATCGGTCGCTGGGGGGAGTATGCCGCGAGCAATGGTGGGTGGATCGGGCCATGGACAGCCTGGGAGCTGATCACTCCTCAACGACGGCGTCCATGTGCTTCCACCTGGTCCTGGCGTGGTCAGCTCCAAGCAGCCCATCTGCCCAACCCCCGCGCAAACCCTTCCTTCTCCACGACCACTGCACACCAGGCCTCGGGGAGCGTGGCGTCTCGGCCGAGACGGTGGGGCGGCGTGCAGGCGCCGAGCTGGCGGCGCTCCTGGCGAGCGGGGCCTGCGTGGACGCCCACGCCGCAGACCAGCTGGTCATCTTCGCCGCCATGGCTGGCGGGGAGAGCAGGATCCTGATGGGAGAGCCCACGCTGCACACCCTGGCAGCCATCGCGGTGGCAGAGCAGCTCACCGCAGCGCGGTTCGACTTGCAGACGGTGGAGGGCCTGACCCTCATGGCCTGCCATGGGGCAGGACTGACGTGGGGCTAGGGTTCCCGGGCCTTTCGTCAAGTATGACTCAGGGTGACAAGGATTGATGCTCCCACCACACGCCCAATTCCTCACGTGCGGTGGTGTTTAATACTGCACACTGATCAACAAAAGCAGCTTGAAACCGTGGAACGGCTCTGGGAAGGCTTGATGAACGACGATATCTTGGCGGAAGGTATGGGCAGGAGGAAAGCGTGCGCGGCGACGGGGAGAGACACGCATCCCTCCGACCTCTCGAACATAGCCTGCGGGCATTCCTGGTCCTCCAGCATAAGTTATCTACCACTTGTAGATAATCCATGCCCAATTATCTCCTCTCGGTGTGCCACACTTTCAATACACTGTCGAATCGACTTGCTGCCGGATTACGGGTGGCCTGCCCACTCGTATCGCAGGGGAGCAGAGGGCCCTCGGCCCGCAGCTGCTCCTCCAAGGGTCTGCAGGCAGGGCCCGGTATCCCCCTGCCGCCTATCCCCTCAGCCTCGCACTCAGCGAGTAGTATTTGGAACAGAACCAGCTACCGCATGCTCGCCAGTCCCGCAACCCATTTTCGGACGGTCGCCCAGGGCGCAGGAGACCAGCGGGCTGGTCATACCTGCGGCCAGCAGGCCATGCCCCTGCAGCTCAGGACTTTGCAATCCGTTTTTGACCTCGCAAGGGTGACCTTTGCCAATGGCAGGAATCCCACGGAAGGTCAACTACAGCTCCTACGACGTGCCCTCGGTGCGTGGTGTGGACTGGGCTGGTTAGAGGCCCACGCCAGGGAGCTATTAAGAATGTATCATCATGCCGTTGATGATTGCCAATCGACCTTTTCTTGATAGACTCCGTGCCTGAGATGCGTTTGTGGCATGGGGTTTAGTTGCCAGCTGGCTTGCAATGCTCCAGACCCTCTCGCAGCCCACGCCCGCCTCCCGAGTCCTACCCAGCACCACATATCGCGTTTTATGCATCGCAGCTCGGGTGCAGCTTGACGAGCTGGGCCTGTCCAGTGATGCGTGCCTCCCCATAGATCAGGCCATGCCTGGCGCCGCCCAGCCCATACGCTACCTGCACATCTTTGAGGACGGCGAGGTGTCCCTGGGCATATTCTGCCTGCCCAAGGGTGCCTGCATCCCGCTGCACAACCACCCCGGCATGACCGTCTTCTCCCGGGCCCTGCTCGGCCGCGTGCACGTGCTTTCCTTTGACTGGGCGGAAGCCCACACCGACGCCATGGCAGGCACTGTGGAGGGCCCTGCTGCCCCCGCACGGGAGGCGCGGCGCGTGCTGGACTGCGTCATGGGCTCCGGCGATGACCCAGCCCTGCTGCAGCCCACCTCGGGCGGGAACATCCACCAGTTCACCGCCGTCACAGACTGCGCGGTGCTGGACCTCCTAACCCCCCCCTACAGCCTCGACGACGGTGTGTGGCATTTGGCAGGACTCCGCTCCGGGATGTGCAGGCTGTGCAGTCCTCCTCTGCCGCAGCGCCTCTGTGCTCCAATCCCTGTTCTGTGTGCCCTGGGAGAGAGCGGGAATCTTGCAGAGCTGCATTGCCCACTCGCACTGTCTTAGACCTTGACGTTTCGACTTCCATATCATCCATTCCCCTTCATGCAGGGCGTGACTGCACCTACTACCACGTCGAGGGGCCAGGTTCTGGGGACGGCACCTTCCTGCTGAGGGAGGCCGAGCCGCCCTCAGACTTTGTCGTGGGTGCGCTGGGGATGTATGACTGGGACTGAGGGCCTGGCCCCTGGGCATCGGTGTGATGGGAGGGTGGGGGACTAGAGAGCATCGGGACAGTCCCTGCCATTGTCCCCCTTCTCACATCCTTCCTGAACGACGCCCACTCCGCAGTGGACGCTCCCTACAAGGGCAGGAGGCCCATCGTGAGGAGTCCCGTCCATCCCACCCGGCCAGGCCCGGAGGCGGTGGTAGAGCAGGAGTTGTACCGTGCACGAGTCTGAACTTCGCCCTGTACCCACCACCCATAATGCGTCTGCACCCCATCGCACTGTGCTTTGCCCCCGAGATTGCGGACTGTGGCCTGGCTGGGTCGGCTCACGAATGTGCCGATCCACGTCATTGCTTCAGGCGATCGAGCCTGGGTGCATCCGCCTGTCTGTACTCTAAGAAATTGTGACATTCCCCGGCCAAGCTTCAAGCGCGCGCGTAGCAACGCGGTTCGAGGTGGTTGTGCCGGGACTGTAACGATGAAGCATTTGCAGGCCCCACGCCGTTGTACAGTCTCATACTATGGAGTTTATAAAAATTCCTGCCTAGCGTGATTCGCTGTGCACAGACCGTGTGGGCTCGATCACAGCCACCTCGGTCGTGGCACTTGGGAGTCCGACACGCAATCCTCCCACACCATGGCGCGGGCTTTCGCGGAGCATGAGGCCAATCTGCCCGTCGGGGATACGCTGGGACAGACCCTGATCCCTGTGATCAATAAACTGCAGGATGTGTTTGCCCAGGTGCGGGGGGGTGCCTGTGTCGTTTGTTAGGGGTTGCTCAAGGCTGTGGGTAACCGCGCGACAGGAGGCCACGAATCCCAGACACCCAAGCCCGGATGCTACATATCATACTTTAGTCCTCCCAGGTCTCAGTAAACCCCTGATCACGCCCCACAGGTGTCCCCGGATGTGAGACTGGACCTCCCCCAAGTTGCCGTGATCGGCAGCCAGAGCAGCGGCAAATCCAGCGTCTTGGAGGCACTGGTGGGTGCGCCATGGGGATGCATGCATGATGGAGTTTGTTGCGGTGTCAAGCTCCTGATGGAAATAGGGGCTGGGTGCCACAAGTGCCGGGCAGTAAGCTCTGCCTGGGCAGCCCCGCACATAGGTGCATGCCAGTGCGCATGGGTGCTGCTTGCCTGCAAGACCCGGTTTCAGTCATGATGCCGGGGCGGCTGCTGCCTTGGACCACCAAAAGATACTCGACCGACGCCTTCCTTCTCCCACTCCCGGACGTTGCCAGGTCGGCCGCGATTTCCTGCCCCGGGGGTCCAACATCGTGACGCGGCGCCCCCTGATCCTGCAGCTGATAAAGATCCCTCCCTCCCCCGCCGGCCCCGCCGGCGACTGGGGCGAGTTCCTGCACTGCCACGGCAAGCGCTTCCACGACTTTGACCGCATCCGGCAGGAGATCCTGGCAGAGACGGATCGGCTGGTGGGCACCAACAAGGGTGTCAGCGACAAGCCCATCCGCCTCAAGATCTATTCCTCCTCCGTCCTGTGAGGCTGCTAGCATGGGGGTGTGGGGTTGTGGGTTGGATTGGTTTGGGTGGGGCATGTCTTGTGTTGGTTGGTCCCAGCCTTGCGCAGCCATTTGGTTGGGCCGCCTCAACCCGACCCACGGACCACCTAAACCACCGATCCCTCCCCAGGACAATGACGCTCGTGGACCTGCCCGGCATCACGCGTGTGCCCGTGGGTGACCAGCCCAACGACATCGAGGCGCGGGTGCGTGCCATGGTGCTGGACTACATCGCCGCGGAGTCGTGCATCATCTTGGCGGTGACCCCCGCCAACCAGGACCCGGCCGCCTCTGACGCGCTGGAGCTGGCGCGGCGCGCCGACCCCGCAGGCGCGCGCACCATCGGCGTGCTGACCAAGCTGGACCTGATGGACCGCGGGACCGACGCGGTGGCCGCGCTGCGCAACGAGGTGGTCCCCCTGCGCCTGGGTCACGTGGGCGTGGTCCTGCGCAGCCAGGAGGACATCGCCAGCCGGCGCGGCATGGCCGAGGCGCGCGCCGCGGAGCGCGCCTTCTTCGAGGCGCGGCCCGTTTATGCAGAAGTAGCAGCGGCCTGCGGCGTGCCGCGCCTGGCCGCGGGGCTGAACGCGGTGCTGGCGGCGCACGTGCGCGCCGCGCTGCCCGCGCTGCGCACCCGGCTGGAGGCCGCGCTGGCAGCCAAGCGCGCCGAGCTGGCGGTGCTGGGCGATGCGGCGCCCGGGGCCACCCCCGCCGCGCGCGGCGCGCTGCTTTTGACCCTGCTGGACGCCTACGCGCGCCGCTTCCGCGAGACGCTGGACGGCGGGTCGGACGCGCTGCCCACCGACGAGCTGGCGGGCGGCGCGCGCCTGCGCCACGTCTTCCGCGAGGTGCTGGGCCCCGGGCTGGACGCGCTGGACCCGACCGCGGAGCTGAGCGACGCCGACGTACGCACCGCCATCCGCAACTCCGGCGGCGTGCGCGGCGCGCTGCTCATCCCCGAGGCGCCCTTCGAGCTGCTCACGCGACGCGCGGTGGAGCGCCTGCTGGCGCCCTGCCTGCAGTGCAAGGAGTACGTGCACGCCGAGCTGCTGCGCGCCGCCGCCGCCGCCGCGCCGCCGGACGTCGCGCGCTTCCCGGCGCTGCGCGCCGTGCTGGCCGAGGCGGTGGAGGCGTACGTGGAGCAGGGCGCGGCGCCGGCCGAGGCCATGATCCGCAACCTGGTGGCCTGCGAGCTGGCCTTCATCAACACCTCCCACCCGGACTTCATCGGCGGCAACCGCGCCATCGCCCAGGTGCTGGAGCGCCAGGCAGACGGCAGCCCCCGCGGAGTCGTGGCGGAGGCCGGGGCGGGGAGGAGCGCGGGGGGGAACCCAGGGGAGGTGGCGAGCAGGGGCGCCGCAGCGGTGGACCCCGGCGCGCGCGCCCGCGCCGAGCGGGCGCCGCAGCCGGCGCCGAACGCCGCCAGGCGGGGAGGGGGCGGGGCGCCGCCGGAGCCCGCGGTCTACGCGCCGGGCGAGCTGCTGCAGCCGGGCGACGTGGGGGAGGGACCCGGCCCGGCGTCCGCCCCGGCGCCCGCGCGCCGCGTCGGGCTGGCGGGCCTGCAGGACCCCTCCCACGGCGGCGCCGCGGCCGGCGGCAGCCCCGGCGTCCTCGGCGGCTCCTGGTTCGGGCAGGTGTGGGCCGGGGCGCGCGCCGGCGCGGGCGCGCCGGCGCCGCCGGGCGCGGGGCCGGTCCCCGGCACCGGCGCGTACGAGGGTGGCGGCCTGGCGCGCCCGCCGGCCACGCTGCGCGTGCCGGCCGCCATGTCGGACCAGGAGGCGGTGCAGGTGGACGTCACGCGCCTCCTGGTCGCCTCCTACTTCAACATCGTGCGGCGCAACATGCAGGACCTGGTGCCCAAGGCGCTCATGCTGTTCCTGGTCAACAACCTGCAGCGCGGCCTGCAGCAGCACCTCATACACACCCTGTATCGGTGAGGGCGGCAAGGGGACCTTGTGTTCTGCTCTCTTCATTCTGGAGGAAGGGGTCATGTGAACAGGGGGGAACTTGGGGGGGGGCGCTCAGGGAGGTTCCTGGAAGGCAACCATGTGAGCCAGGCGATGCTTGCGTCTCTCCATGGCCCACCGCAACTCTATTCTGAACCTGCATGATCCTCACACCAACCTCCACCACCCTCCACAAAAAAACCAACACCCAGGGAGGAGCTGTTCGAGGAGCTGATGACGGAGCGGGAGGACGTGGCGGCCAAGCGGTCGGGGTGCCTGAGCGCGCTGCGCGCGCTGCGCGCGGCCCTGGTCACACTGGAGGGCCTGCCGGGGGAGATGGCGGGCAGGGCAGCGGCGTCGGGGCGCTGGAGCTTCAAGGCCATGCTGGCGGAGGTGGACGCGGCCGAGGGGCGGGGCAGCCCCAGCCCCAGCCGGCTGGGAGGCAGGGCGGGCACCCCAGGCGGCGCGGCGCGGGGCGGGGGAGCGGCGGGCATGTACTACCCGACCTCCCACGAGGGCTGATGAGCGAGCTATGAAACCTGCTGCAAGTGAATCCCGGCTGGGGCGCCCTCCCTGCCGAGCGCCGTGGGCGTCCCTCCGCCACAGCTAGCGGGCACCGCTGGCACCTCTTTGTCCTGGAACCCAGAGCCTCTGCCCGTCCCTATAACGATTCCCACCCCCTCTGTAGATTCCAACCTCGGGGTACCAGCCCTTGTTCCAGTGCCAAGTCCTGCCAGCCATCCTCTGGCCTGGCCACTGCTCCCAACCATAGCCCATGGACAACCCGCCATGCTGTAAGTGCGCATTGCAACAGAATAAATAGGAATCTGGAGGGCGAGGTGTGAAGAGACGGGCGAACTGCAGCGCCGCGCGCCTCGACCGTGGATTCAATACGACACACGGGCAGCATGCCCCCCGCGAGGGTGGCATGAAGGCCGCACAGCCGTCACTTGAGTGCGGCGCCGGCATGAGGGGCAGACAGGCCCCGCATGTGAGCCACCTGGTCCACCAGGGCCTTGAAGGAGAGGGGCTCCGTCCTGGCAAGCTCGGACAGCATCTTGCGGTTCAGGCCCACGTTCTGAGCAGCCAGCCCGCTGATGAGCGAGGAATACTTGACCTGGTGGAAGGGTTCAAGGAAACACGGGTGCTTTCGGGCCATGATTACTCACACACAAGGAATCAAACAATCTCATCCAGTCAGTGCTCCAGCCGGAGTCTGAGTCGGCTCCTGCCCAAAGGCATAAGGCTGGAGTGCAGTATGCTTGAGAAAACCGAGCTCACCCCATGCACCCTCCTCGTCCCCACGCACCCCATATTGTCGGGCTCCAGCGTTTATTTGCTGTATCCAGAGAGCGCGCATGTCCCTCTTCTTGGCCTTCCTGTCCCGGAAGGCATACTGCAGGCTCTTCTCCACACGCTCCCTAGCTACCCGTATACAGTTCTTGCTCCTGCCGCGGAAGCCCTTTGCGAGCTTCAGTATCTTGTCCTTGTTCATCTTGCCATGTAATTCTATGCACCAGTCCATTCCTGGCCAGGCTGGAGGACTATGTGTCTAGTCTCGCTCTCGACATAGCATATGGAAGCGCGCTGGCGGGAGCGGTGGTCTTTTGGACAGTGTCGGGCACACGCCCTGCGCCATTTTTCCATGGCCTGTCAAGTGACTACCTTAAATCCGTTACACACCCATTCGACATGTTATATTCAATATGAATCAGAAGGCTGCTGCATCTCATGGCATGTACCAGCCTCTCCCTGGAGTGGCAGAGGCTCCCAACAGCACAGCGGACAAACCCTCGTGGTCCGATCGCGCATCGCGTTGCCTCCTCCTCACATGCCTCGTCTTTGTTATAGTGCTGGGACTGATGGCCGCGGGAGGGCCGGTAGCTACGAGTGGTACACCTCGAAGGATGCCGAATGTCTCTCCAAGGTACCGGGGTGCGCTCTGGTCAGCATGACCACATGTCAGCATAGAATGCGATCGCCTTTCGGGCCAACGCTGATAATGATATATCCATCGCATGCAGGCCAGATCATTCCGACATCAATCGCCTGGCGCGTTGGTTGATCCACGAGGCAGACTGGGGTGTTGTGTCGACGTTAAGTCGGCATTTGAATGGAGCTCCGTTTGGGTGAGACCGGGCGTTAGGTGGTGCACAGGCATGAGCCATTCGCCCCAGTTGAATTCCCCGGTTGAATCTGCGCATGCTCCATCCTGCAAAACTGTTCATCCAAAATGGCCCTCAGGGTCTGCCACAATGGGTTCCGTCGAGCATCTGCAGCGGGCCCACCCTCCAAACCCATCCATCTCCCTGCACAGGAATGTGGTGTCGTATGCCGATGGCCCGAGGGGCAACTCAACAGGGCGCCTGCTGTTCTATCTCACCACCCTGGATGCAACAGCATATGACGCGCAAGCCAACGCTTCGGCCATGCTGACGGTGTCCGAGGCGCAGCTGCCGGGCAGCTGCCGTGGGCTGGATGCGGAGGACCCCCCTTGCGCCAAGATCTCCATCTTGGGGGAGCTTCACCGTGTACCTGCGTCCGAGGAGGGAGCTGCACGGGTGAGGTTTCTGAGGAGCAGGGCGTCTTGCTGTGACCAGTGCCTCATCCTGTTGTTGGGAGTTTGAGAGTGAACTTGGGTTGCCTGGGTGCACATTCGCAGCTTTGCCTGTGTGGCGCTCCCCTGGACTTCTTGAAGAAGGAATGGTATCCCCGAAACCTGTGCCGCAGGACCTTCTCTTTCCCAGGCACCCAGCCATGCAGGATTGGCCTGCTGGCCACGAATTTCACATGTGAGTGCGATGTATGGCAGACCGGCCGTGCAATGTGCGCAGCCTGCGACATGTGCGGAGGCCCGTCCGCTCCTTCAATCCTGGGTAGCTGAGAGATCAAAGAATATGCACTCAATGTGAGCACACCTGACAATGCAGGTACGAGCTCTTCATCCAGCAGATCCAGCTACTGGCCTGGTATGGCGGCCCTCGCCAGATCACCCCCCAGGACTACTTTGGTGTCCAGCTGTGATGCTCCAAGGGGTTCCGAGCGCAAGTGGGGGCTCGATTGTGTGCTGCCTGGTTTTGGTTTGGCCCCGGTTGCGTCTGGACTGTGCAGACCCTGTACATCGCAAACCCAACCATATCTTGCGACTAAGAACAATTTGTTTTTACCCCTTCCTTTTGTATCTTAGTCTTGCCCCCCCGAGCTGTGTACACCTCTCATCCTTGGCATGCTGCCTGGGGCACATCTCCAGTCACCCGATACCTCCTCGTTTCGAGGCTACAGGGGTGTTCGCAGTACTAGCGGCATACAACGTGGCAGACAGGGCTCCCCAGGACAGATTGGGGACACGCGCTGACTCAACAGTGGGATGCAAGCAGGCACGACGGTGACAAGGTGTCGCTCAACTGAGGACTTTCTGAAGGTGGAGTGCCGATGGCAGTCCCACAGGCAAGGCTCTATGAGTGGGTTGAGGGGATGAATCAAGAATGTGAGGTATGGCAAAAGCTAAGCACGTCATCGAGACGCGTGTTGCTCGCGCGTGAGCCAGAGCAAAGAGAGTGTCTGCCGGGGCTGGGGGATCCTGGCATGGCAGCATGCACGCCCGCAGCAGCAGGCGGGGGGGGGGGTTGAGGCGTTGGGAGAGCAAGGGTGCCGCGTGCACAGTCGGTTGGCCGACGGGGAGTCTCAGAGGGTTTGGCCTGTCGGGACGCGTCTCTCAACCGTCAAGCTTCTATGCTATGTGCTGGGCTGCTGGCACATGTGGTACACCCAGCCGCTCACTGGGAGGGGTCGACCACGAACCTGAAGCGGGGGTGGGAGAGGACAGGGGCCTGCGAGGCCAGCGGCCGTGCCGGCAGTGGCGCGGCGGCCGCCCCCCGCGCGCTGAAGGAGTGCCAGGCGCGGGGCGGGGGGCCTTTAACGGCCCTGTCCGGGACGCAGCTGAAGGAGTGCCACTGCGGGACGGCGGCCTCGCCGCCTCGCCCGGCCGTCGCCACGCTCTCCACGCTGGGCTGGGCCTGCGCCGGGGGCACCTGCCAGCCGGCGGCCAGCGGCGCGCTGTCTGCGCTGAGGGCCGAGCCGCTGGACACCGCCACGAGCTGGCTGGCCTTGAGGGGCACGCCGGAGAACACGCGGGGGCTGCCCCCTGGGCCGGGGACCTGCACCGCGGCCCACACAGCGGCCTGCGAGCCGGGGGGCGTCGCCTGCACGTCCACGCCCACGATGTGCGGGGGTTTGGGGGTGCCGCTCGCACCGGGGTCGTGCGAGGGTACAGGCCCCCGCCCCGGGGTCGCCACCTGGTGCGCGGGCTGGGCGGGGGGCGGGGCACCCTGCTTGGCCCCTTGGGCGGTGGCCGTCAGCCACTGCTCCAGCTCCTTGGGGTCGGGCAGGGTGGCGATGCCGTCCGCATCCATGGAGGGGAGACTGGGGAGGCGCAGGGCACTGGCGGATTGGTTGGGCATGCCCTGCGCGGCGGGGCGGGGCGGGGGGGGCGGGGACGCTCAGGCCAGGCTGGCAGGGAGGAGCCCTGGGGCCTGGCAGGCGAGGGGCGTCCCCAATGAGGGCACACACCGCACCATGACACGAGGTCCAAAATTACGGTGGCACTCCATCGCTGTCAAAGCACCTCTCGAGCCGAGTCAGGGCACCGGACTCACCCAGGAGGAGCACCGCTGCAGTTCGTTGTCCGGCCACCCGAACCCGCTCGAGGTTTGCGCAGCGGGGAAACCCGGACCCTCGACCCGCAACCTGGGGACTGGAAGGCTGTGTGCGTCAGCTGCGGCTTCTAGGGGTCTCGTGTCACGGGCGGGGCGTACGGGGACGCTGCAGCCCCCATCGGGCAGCAGGTCGTTGGCAGCCTCCAGGCCCACACGGGTGGTGCAGTGGAACGGGGACGACCAGAACCGATCATCCCGCCTCCTTGACCGTGTCTTCATTACTAGCTGGTCTGTGCGGGGGGATGGCC